GTCACATGCAGATCGTCAGCTTCTTGGTGAACTTTGGAGCCAACCTCTTCGCTCTGGACAATGACTTCCACACTCCCATGGACGTGGCCGCCTCTCGAGACCACATGGACTGCGTCCGCTTCCTGGACACCGCTGCCGCCCAACAGACAGGCCAGAACGCTAAAAGGGTGGCGCGTCTGAAAGAACAGGCCACCAAAGATGCCGAGCGCAGAGTGAAGCAGTGCGAACGCGTCAAGAAGAGACATCAGAATAAGATGGACAAGATGTACCGCAGTGGATCTGTCTCGGAAGGAAGTTCCCTTTCCAGCTCGGGTACCTTGAGCAGCATGAACGGAGAACAGTTCTCCAAACTCATAGCCGCAGACACCAACGGATCGATCTCTTCTACGATCAAGGGAACCCTCCAGCGCAAATTTGGGAAGAAAGACAAAGAGACAGTGAGTAGACAAGGGGACGGCAATGTTATTTTTGTCAAACAAGACAGCGGCTCCCAAGAGAAACCTGGTTTTGTTGACGTCTTCAATGAGCAGGATGAAATTCAGGATGATGATGATGACGATGCCAAGAGAGATTCAGACGACGAAGGAGCCAGTCTGGGCAAGTCTATTTTCGAAAGACCTGGGCTTGGGAAAATGGTGTTCCGCAGGAACTTCTCCATGGAAATGGCCATGGACCATGAAGACCTCCCCAGCGGCAATGCAGAAGACCTAGGGTACCTCATCCGTCAAGAGTTGTTTGAGACTGTGGAAGAAGGTCTGGAGGGTTTGGACAAGAATTCAGAGCTTCCTTGGAATGAAGAGGAGATCGGTCTGGATGAGCAAGAGGAGACCTCACACTTGGATTCCTTCTTGGCGTCAATTGGCCTGTTGGACTACGGTCCTGTGTTCACCCGTGAACACCTGGATCTTGACGCCCTCATGCTTTGCTCAGATGACGATCTTAAAGGCATCCGCATCCAGCTGGGGCCGCGCAAGAAGATCCTGGAAGCGTCAGCTCACAGGAAAGCTGTGCTGGAGCAGCCTGGCGTTATGAAGGACACCTTCCTTTAATAACGTGCACCACTCAATCCCGCCATACACAAACATTCACAGTTTCTCTCCACTGACACCATCATGTAGTTGTTTCATAGCTCACTTTCTGTGATTTTGAAGATTGTATGAAGTAACACAGCAGTTAAAAATGTCCTTATTGTAGTAAAATAAGTTTAATCTCCAAAACAAACATCTGACTTGTATGAGAATCAACCATTTTTTCCCAAGAACATGTTGATTGTTTTCATCTTTCAAATTAAAGTATCTTGCATATATCTAAATAAACACTGTTCATGTCTAGAGGTCATGCCTATCTATCTATCTATCTATCTATCTATCTATCTATCTATCTATCTATCTATCTATCTATCTATCTATCTATCTATCTATCTGTCTGTCTGTCTGTCTGTCTGTCTGTCTGTCTGTCTATCTATCAATCTATCTATCCCTGAACACATTCTTCGACACATAATATATATGGTATGGCATTATAATTTTTTAATGTCTAATGACAGATTAAATCAGATACAAAAGAGAGGCATTAATTTGGCAGTAACTTCATCTCAGATAATGCATTTGAGACGTAGCGACTAACGTCTGCAGCTCCATAACCTTGTGAAGCAGCCGCAGGTCCTTCGAGGAGACAATAAATAGGACAATTAGTTGAAAATACACTGGACAAAAGTATTGGGACACCCCCTTCTAATGAACAGGTTTGACTACTATAGTAATGAGTACAAATCTTAATGTTTAAGCATATAATGCTATTCTAGGGAATTGTGTGCTTCTAATTTTATAGCAACAGTTTGGAGAGGACCCTTTTCTATTCTAACATGACAATGCCTCTGTGTATGAGGCAAGGTTCAAAAAGAAATGATTGATTCAGTCAGTGTGGAAAAACTTGACTGGTCTGCAGAAAGCCAGCTGAACACCTCTGGTGTGACTTTAAATGCAGACCTTGAGCCAAAAACTCATCACCAAACACTGTGACTTGTACATATATGGGTACAGTCATTTTAGACACTTCCAAAACTGTTGCAACAGTGATGGAAATATAATTTTTAAATACATGAATTATGTTTCCATCTTTGTTGCCACAGTTTTGGAAGTGCCTTTTTCTATTCTACTGAAGGGGGTGTCCCAATACTTTTGTCCATATAGTGTACATCAAGTATGCAGCTGACAATTGAATACATGCACAATAGTACATACTTTCTTTTTCTCCTGGTCTTCTTTTCCATCGCACTGGTGTTGACGGCTCCTTCAGAGGTCTGTTCTGGATGTGAGACTAGAGGGGCGTTAGAAACAGCTATATTTAATTTCAGCAGTTTCTGGTAGTTTGTGCACTGTGTATTTTGCTTTGACTGTCAGAAAAATGTAACGAGGAAACCTTGCACAGTCTCCTGCACTGATGCTACTGCTGCTGCTTCTTCCACTGAAATCTTCAGTACTTCCTCTTCAACAAGCTCTTTCTGGAGGGCCTCCTCTGGATTTAGGCTGCAGTTCTCCTTTTGCAGGGCTTGAACAGTCCTTTGGTTTTTCACATCGTCTTCCTTTATCTCCTGAGGTGAAAACTTCCAGTGAAGTACTTCCTGCGCAGCCTGCAAATGCTACTGAAAGCAAAGAAAATGTCTTGTTCCATTCGAAAGATTAGATGCAATGAATTACTTGAAACAATATATAATGAAAAGTTGAACCAATTGGCAATTTATAGCAGCCGTTTGAAACCTGTATGACTTTCTTTCTTCTGTGGAACACAAAATAAGATTTTGAAGAATGTCCCTCTTGTCTGTGCAAAGAAAGCCATTGGAACTCGTTGACTTTTATTGTATAGACAAAAACATTCATTACAATATCTTAATTTGTCTTCAACAGAAGAAAGAACGTCATACAGGTTTGGAACAACTTGAAAGTGACAGAATTCTGACAGAATTTAAATTTTTGTGTGAATTATGACTGTAAAGTATCGGTATATGCCTGATTCAAAGTCTAAGTTAAAAGTTTTTAGCCAAATAAAATTTAGTCATCGGTCTACCTTTAAATTTAGGACTAGCACAGTGTTAGGGGAAACACTGGGTCCAGGGGTGTATTCCAGAAAGCAGGTTAACTTACCGTCAGCTAAACCCTGAACTTTCGGTTGATTAACCCCAAACCTTGCTTACTCGAGGCATGTGGTTCCAAAAACGCGTCCGGGAGTAAGTTCATTCAACTCCGAGTATGTTCCTGGTTAAGACTCGAGACATTCTCAACAGAGCGACCAATCGATGAGTCGCTATGGAAATGGACCCTAAGAAAAAGCGTGCCATGCTGTCTCCTTTTTCTTCTTTTGTTCAGTGGTCGTTTACATGCTTATTTTATTTTTTTTATTATTTTTTTTTTATTAATGAAAATAGCATAAGACAGTCAGTGCTATACAAAGTGTGACATTAATTAGTAACAGTAACTGAAAATAATGTCATAATATTTTAAACATGTTAATAACTTGTTTACACGCTTAGTGCATATCGCTTCCTAATGGATGGTTGTGCAATCGTTTAAATTTTTCCCCCCGTTTAATCTTTAATCCTTGAGAATATGAATTATATTGTTTGTTTGATGCTAATTATATATTAAGTCACATCAGATATGTATTTTGACTTAGAATTGAGAAATTATAGACAATTGCTTAGTGCATATCGCTTCCTAATGGATGGTTGTGCAATCGTTTAAATTTTTTCCCCCCGTTTAATCTTTAATCCTTGAGAATATGAATTATATTGTTTGTTTGATGCTAATTATATATTAAGTCACATCAGATATGTATTTTGACTTAGAATTGAGAAATTATAGACAATGCCGATCCATGTGTGATAATATAAAATGTAATAAATAAATATAATATAATAAATTAAACATTACCTTGTCATAGTGTTTTATAATTTATACAGATAACTGTTATGTATGCCAATAAAATAAATATAATAACCATATTAGAATAATATATGACCTTATTTATTACTTATATCAGCGCTTCATCATTAACATATCATACAAATAGGCTATATATATATAGGCTATATTAGCTACATATTGTAATATTATATAATGTTGTGCGCTATCTGCTTTTATACCTGCTTTTTGGAATACCCCCCAGGAAGTGTTTGTGTGTTGTTGTTGTTTTTATTGATAAGATGTGAATGTTTAACCTGTTCAATGTTGTTCAGATGTAGGTCATGAACATAGAGAAGGAGGAGCTGATCCGTGATGGAAAGATGATCAGTCATTGTGAATAGTTCAGCCGACATCTGCAAGAGCCCCAACGGTTGCTACAGTTATGGATTCAATATTATACATATACAAATATTATTTTGATAACAGCAACAAACCTTTCAAAAGGGAACACTTACCAACAGCGCCCTCTTGAGTCTAATCATTTAAAATATTCCGAAAGCACAGCTTTATGACTGGCTGATTCTTGGAAAATAGCTAAATGACAAGCTAACGTTGGCTGAAAGACGCTTCAGAAACGAGGAAAGCTATTTGATAGGTCATTTAAAAGCGATAGACTCAAAAAAAACAACAACTGTGCTTTCAGTTGTGACCATCTATGAGTAGACTATTATTTTTTGAATCAAAACATTGTATTGCTGCTGTATCTGCAAAACATTTACCAACTGAAGAGCTCATTTGACTAGTGAAGTAAAAGAAGAAAAGAGAGTTCAAACTAAAACCTGTTATGAAGATAGTTGTTATTACAATGGGTTATTAATTATTATTATTATGTAGAATCTGCTTATCTGCATGGGTCAAATTAATTGGATGAAAAATCATATCAGTTTTAGTGTTTTCATTTGAAATAGTGCCTTACAAAGTCTTTGGTGTTTTGATGTTTAATAATGTTTTACATGAAATTGTTGACTTTTACTTGTACTACCTCACTACAATGGTTTCAATGGTTTCTACATAGATAGCTAGCTATTTGATTAAGACCACCTCCAAGCCATATACGGAGTCTCCTTATATGGCTGTAAATCATATCAAAAAGGATCTCAGATAACATTTCCGCGTTTACTGCAGAATCAGTAGCCATTTTTCTAGCACTACAGTGGTTAGAAGAAGTACGATCAACTACACTGTAAAATAAATTCCGTAAAATTTACGGTAAAAAAAACGGCAGCTGTGGTTGCCGGAATTGTACCGTAAAAGATACGGTAGCAACGTTGTAGGTTTTATGGTTTCAACTTAAATTTACAGTTAAATACCGTAATTTCATTAACTGCTTTTTCACTTCCAAAAACGGTATACTATCGTGAAATTAATGTCCAATACATGTAATGTCCAATACAGTTTTTCACTGTATATAGTAGGGGAATTTACCGTTAACCATTTAACAGGATTTTACTGTAACATTTTTACAGTCTTTTACCGTAAAATTCACGGTCATTTTTACAGTGTAGATCAGTGATATGTACTGATTCCCTTTCAGCTCTTAACAGTTTGTCAAGTGGAACATCTACAGCAAGGTGATTTTCCTTGGGGGGGAAAAATTAAGGGAAAACATTAATTAAAAGCAACATTGATAATCCCTATGGTTGCACTACATTTTCTGGAAACTTTCCATGGGAACTTAATCTGGGGAATTTTGGAAATATTCTAAATTGGAAACTTAACAGGAATTTATGGGAATTCATTGGAAATTTGGGGAAATTTATAGAAACTATCATATATAAACATAAATATAAACATTTTGTTTGATCATAAGTTGACATGAATGCAAACTAATACAAATTTTAAAAATTACATTTTTGGATTTAAAAAAATTTTTTTTGCTTATATTTGTTTCAGGATTCACTGATGAAAGAAAACTTAAAAAGAATGTCATTTAAAAAAAATAGAAATCTTTACTAATAATATATAAGTCTTTACTATCACTTTTTAAAAAATCAGTTTTAACACATCCTTGTTGAATAAAAGTATTAATTTCTTTCGAAAAAAATTTTTGCTGACCCCACACTTTTAAACTGTATTGTTTTAAAAAA